ATGACATTATATTCTGCAGTTCTTCCCTGTTGTACCGAATATCTATACTTTTCAAATGATCATATCGAAGTTAGAAATTCAAATATTGTGACAAAATTAATTTTGTAGGGTGCCACAAGTTTGTTAAAATTTCCAAAGGGTACCGCGTCTAAAAAAAGGTTGGGAAACACTGCTTTAGATGACAAAGTATTTTTCACAAATAAATAAATTTTTTATAAAATATAATTTAATATAATTTAATATAATTAAAAAGGAAGTAAACCCTGTAACCGACAGGGCACTCAGTATTCTGGGAAGTTTGTGTGCATTGGGAATCATATTCACTCATTTTACATACAGCACACAGTGGAAATGTACGGTGGCCGAGAAGTGCAGAGCAAATCACAATTCTGAAAACAAAATAACAAATTACAAACGCAAGTGCAAGTCTAAAAAACAAAATAACAATTCAGAAAACACAACGACAAATTCGAAAACAAAATAACAAGTCAGAAAACACAACGACAAATCCGAAAACAAATTTACAAGTCAGAAAACACAACTTCATGACAAATGTGAGGGGGGTGAATTTTTTTATAACTCATCCGTTTAAATTATATTATGCCTTAAAGTTCTGCATAATTAAGGGCGTGGCCACTTGAGTGACAGGTGGATTGCCTCTGCTGTCACCACCATCGAGCTAGGTGGCCGTGGTTTCAACAACCAGCTCCCACCTCTTTGCCCATCTTCGATAATCCGGGAGTGACGTGCTGTGATGCACTGCCAAGATGGCGACGGTCGCCTCCGCCCACTTTTGAGCTTCAAAAACTCTCTTCGGAACCCTACGGGTGACGTCACGGACACTACGTCCATGTTTTTATACAGTCTATGGTGCTCAGGCGCTGCCGTTCTCAGTGCCATCAAAATAAAAGTCCCGTCTCGAACGCATCAGCCAAACAGGAAAACTTAATCAGCCGATGCTGGTAGGGGTGGGCGATATGACCAAAATCTTATATCACAATATGACAATTTATATCACGATATAGTTTTTTTTTTAACCCCTTAAGGTCGTAATCCCGGTATAGGAATAGGAATTGCGTCATCGTGTGTTTTTTTTTTTTTATATTACACGTGTTGGAGCATCTATAGTATCTTTTGAAAGCATATAATCTAAACTTTCGGAATACCTGCATTAATTTAGCATTTATGTTACATAAAGTAAGATAATAAGGTCTGAATTCGCCCCCACAAACAAGCCCCCCCTCCCCCCAATGAAGATCGACGTAATAATATTCAAATTCATATCGCACAGACTTACCACACATAGATGAGTCATATATCAAATGAAAGCTCTCATTCCCCAAAATGTGATTATGTAGTTTATTTAATTGATCTAACACATTACAGAGAATAATGATCAAAAGCATCACGACAATGGAAATGACTTCTGTAAACAAACAAACATTTACGTCACATTCCTGCTCCGATTACTACTTCCGTGTGCTAAAGGTCAAGTCAAGTCACCTTTATTTATATAGCGCTTTTAACAATACAGATTGTGTCTCTAAAGGTGGCCACAAACTTTATATCAGCTCTTAGATTAGTTTGTTATCTTTAAAATGAGACTATGCTCACTTTTCTGTGAGCTTGCCCGGCTACACGGCATCCTAATATGTCTCAGATGCGCCGATCAATACGTGCGATGGAGTTGAATGGCGCTGTTTCTACTAGTTTTGCCTTAACACGTTTGTATTGATGGGCGATTACGTTATTTATTTTAATTTTTTATTTAATCAGGGACAATGCACATTAATAATACATAAATATGTCAAATGCGCCAGATTTAGCCAACTCTGGTTAATTTTCATCCGTAGTCCCTTTTGGCAGGTTGATGTTAAGGACAGGGAGAAAATATAAACAAAGAATATTAATACACCAAATTAAGAACAAGGAGAAAGTAGTAAAGCAGAAGAAAAAATAAACTAAGACTATGGAAACGTAGTCACAATTTTGATGGGTCAATAACCATATTTTCCTGTTAACTGTTTTAATTATTTCAACTCTACTGGGAGTCTATTCCACTCATGTGTTCCTCTAAAAGCAAAAGATAATTGACCAAAGGTAGTTTTTCTTAATGGCACGTTACAATCACCTCTAATACCGGCACGTGTACACCGTCCTGTTATCTGATCTATGTAATCCTTAAAAACAGGTGGAGCAAAACCATTTAAGATCTTAAAAATAAGTACCAAATCAGCAAATTGAATCAAATGTTCCCAACTTAAAATAGAAAACTTAGTTAATATGCTACAATGGTGAAAACTGTTTGGTTTTTTATCCAAGACCTTAAGAGTTTGTTTATAAATAATTTCAACTGGTTTAATAAAAGACCTACATGTTTGAGTCCAGGTAGTCATGCAATATGTAATATGAGGAATAATCATTGAATTCATGAATAAAACTGCTGCTTCATTGGTCAAACTATTTTTGATAAATCTGAAATTCGCCAAGTTGAATTTCACTATATTTACCACTTTATTCACATGTGTTTTAAAAGTAAGTCGAGAATCTAATAATAATCCTAAATATTTAAATTCATGTACTACCTCAAGTTTTTGTTCCTGGACAAATACATCTGCTTTCACATCATAAGCTGGCCTTTTAGTAAAAAACATACAAACATTTTTTCTGACATTAAGATGTAAATATGAGTTGATAAGCCATTGTGCAACTTGATTCATAGTTTCAGTCAATTTTTGTGCAGCCTGTTGTTGACTTTTTGCATGTACATAAAACACAACATCATACGCATACATTTGACAAATGACATCTGGAGGACATACATTTGGTAAATCCTTTACATACATACTAAACAATAATGGGCCCAAAATAGAACCTTGTGGAACTCCAATGTTATAATCCAAGTAATCTGATGTCGCATTTATAACCTGTACATATTGTTTTCTATTTTCTAAATAAGATTTAAACCACATAACGGCTTCAGTTGAAAAATTAAAATTTAATAACCGAGAAAGTAAAATCTCATGATTTACAGTTTCAAAAGCTTTCTTAAAATCCAGGAATACAGCACCAACTATACCACCTTTATCCATCAAAAAGATTTAATATTTTCCAACATAAAACAATTTGCCGTTTCTGTAGAATATTTTTTTTCTAAAACCAAATTGCATAGGGCGAAGGGAAAAGGCACTATTATTAAGATATGTGATTATTTGCTCCGCTACCCATTTTTCAGCGACTTTCGACATTACAGGGAGAATACTTATTGGTCTATAATTACTAATTTCTGTATAACGTCCAGATTTTTGTACAGGGGTAATTACTCCAAATTTCCCATTTTTTTGACAGCCACTTTAAATGTGTATATTTCCTAAAAGCTAACTGAAGTAATTGTAACCTAATTATAAAAACTTCATTAAGTGCAATTTAAGCAGTTGTACAGCACAAATCAGTCAATTTTAACCTTTAATATTATAATGTAGTACCAACTGACTCGCATGTATATTTTACAGCATTAGCTGATTTTTTTTTCCTTGAGAAAATTTGGCATGTACTGTACCTGATATGTATCCAAAATAATCGAAATCAAATCGAATCGAATTGGTAATCGAATCGCAAGCTTGTGAATGAGAATCGAATCGAATCGTGAAATTTGTGTCAAAACCCAGCCCTACTTCACTGTGTTAATTATAACTATCTTTCTATCTATCTATCTATCTAGCTATCTATAGATAGATAGATTGATAGATAGATATAGATAGAATTAACATGTGTATTAAGTATAGATTCTATACATATATATAAATATATTATTATTTTTTTTTTTTTAAATTTTATTTCTTCTTATTAAAGTTACAAAAGTGATGTAGTCAAGAGCAGTGAGAGATTTTCTCTCACTATTGTTTGATTAATATGAATGGCAGACAGGACAAATATTGGACAGCTTCTCCTTTAAAACCAAAGTCCGGATCCAATATGGATTCTGACGCATATAAGTGTGTTTATGTAATCGTTCAAAGCCAATAAAGCAGCAAAAAAAATGTGCACTCCTCACACAGAAACAGAGACGGCGCACGCATATAGCTCTGTTGTTTGTTTTTCAACGGCTTAAAATCGGTTGTTTTAAAACTGCAGTGCTTAAGACGCGTGACCATGCTACAGATGTAGTCCCTCGTTTAGGAACAAGCTCCTCGTTTTGTTCTGGCTGGTCGTCCACTTGGTTCTGTCTCCCCTTCACGCCCCGTAGTGGTGTGTATAGATCGCAGTCATCCAAATGATGAAAAAGTATTACCGTAAACAATGTATTTTGCGACACCACGAAATAAACGATAGAGCATAATATGAAAAGAGAGACTTTTTATTTCGTCCATCCGATATATATCGTCATATCGCACAGCCCTATATGCCGATATTGAAAAAATGCCAAATATCAGCCTTGGCTATATATCGGTCGACCACTAAAGGTTATGAAGGCATTTTAAACTGAATCCATATGAATAGTGCAGTTTAATCCAAGTCTTGTGTGAAAAGTTTTAATTTAGGCTTTTGTTAACATCTAAACAATGATCAACACACGTACATAGTGCACATTACATATGTTAATCGGAAGCTCACGAGAACCAATGAGATTTGTTCTAGCACATGGCGCACACAGTGGCGTAGCAGATGGGCATGCAGGGCATGCACTGTGGGGGGGCCCCGCGATAACCTCCCCATGCTGAGTTGCGTTGTATCACATATCGACAATAGCCAGAGATATTGTCAAAAGCATCAAATATTGGCAATATTAAGAGGATTTAGCATTTACAATTAATGTAGGCTGTTACGTTCTTCTTCTTATTAGGCCTATTATTATTATTATTATTAGGTTACTTTTATTATTAAATGTCAAATAATTTGCCCCGCAATAATTTCATAGCGCATCACTGCATGACGCGCTGTAAGGATAATAAAAGATTAGGCTATTAACTTACTCCTCATTGAAAATGTTTTTAAAACAGGTCTATTAATTGTTACAATGAATTATAGACCTATAATTAAAATTATTAACGCTGCAGTCATCAGTGAAAATTAAGAGCAGCTTTATTTCATGCACCGATTTTAAAAAACAACCTGTTTAAAGCGGAATACGTTTCTTATGTTTTTCACTATACAGACCACAAGAGAAATATTAAGGGAAATTTAAGACGGTTATATACCGTTATCAGCATATGAAGTAGATTTGTCTCTCGTCGTCTCTGAGAGAATATATGCCATTAATGCAATGTTAGAAAGCTCAGTCAGTTTTTTTGCTTTCACTTTCTGTATAGTGAATTGACGAGGTCAGGACATTCACCGGCATAACTCTTGCGCAAAGTTTGCATGTTGATTGTGTGATATCCATTGGTTCGCCTTAATGGTTTTTAAAACAAAAATATTTCCAATATTGCGTCTAATGGGTTTGGGACGTCATGAGGGTGAGTAAATGATGACAGAATTTTCATTTTGAGGTGAACTATCCCTTTAATGCTTAATAAAAAAAAAAAAAGCTGTTTTAAGTGAGAGTAAGGTTTTAATAAGTTGTATTTATTCTGATTTCTTATTTTTCATGCTTTTTATTTTTTTAGATATGAAAGATTCCGATCTGGCCGAACTGCTCAAGGCGTAAACAACGGGGTGGGTTGTGTCTTCTTTAAGAGAGATGTTCTATTATCTGTGTTAGCATCATTTCATCATCAAGGTGTGTGTTTTATTTTTCCCCAAACACATGTAAGGTAATTGTTCATGCCAACAGCACATCTCTCACTCATATAATTCTCTCATTGCTTGCTTTTTGCTCTAAAATATGCTCTGAGAATGCGTAGTACGTTTGCTTTGAGATGCAAACTTCATTGTGTGGTTATCAACTGATGTGATTGCATGTTGGTGTTATTTATTGTGTGGTTTGGTCGGTTTTGTGATTTGTTTTTCCTATTTTTATTTTTTGGTATTGCTAGCTGAGGGAGGCAAGTATGAAAGTCATCTAATCTCATTTTTTACTTTGACATGCAAATGCTAAAAAATGTTATGTCAGTATTGGCTGGTACATCTGGCTGGTGCATCTTCCTGTGTTGCATCCGGCATGTCTTGACAATGAACCTCCACTAGCATGTAGAATGCCTGTCCCACAGTCTGTTACTTTTGCCTTCACCCTTTCCATCTACTTGCACTAGTACTAGTTCCTGCACTGCTTCAAATAAAATAGGCTACATGGGGATTTACAGTAGTAACAATGAATTTTATTTAATTGATATATGATTTTTAACAGCACATACAATGGTGAAAATATTTATTTGATCCCCTGCTGATTTTGTAAGTTTGCCCACTTACAAAGAAATGAAGGGTCTGTAATTTTTATGGTAGGTTTATTTTAACGGAAAAGGATGTCAGAGACAAGATTGTAGATCTGCACAAGGCTTGAATGGGCTACAAGATCATCAGCAAGAAGCTTGGTGAGAAGACAACTGTTGGTGCGATTATTCGGAAATGTAAGAAATACAAAATAACCATCAATCAGGCAGCTGGGACCACAGTCACCAAGCAAACCATTGGTAACGCATTACGCCACAATGGACTGAAATCCTGCAGCGCCCGCAAGGTCCACGCCGCCCAAATGTTCACGCAAAGAAAGAAGGCGTAACTTTTATTCTCGCTGTAGCCATGTCGTTAAGGCGCTATGTGTTTCATTGTGAAAGCAAAACTACTTTGTAGTTTGTAGGACAATATCTGCTTCATCATGCCTGGAGCTGATGAAACTACTTTGTTTGGCTTTCCAAAAATGGACACGACTAGAAACTACAAAAAACATCTTACCTCTGTGCTTGCCAAGAAGATTTCTTTGCAAGTGGGCAAACTTACAAAATCAGCAGGGGATCAAATAAATATTTTCCCCACTGTATACAGCAAGATTTTTTAGGCTATTGTAGTAATTTCCGGGACTGCATGAGAGACATACACTACCATTCAAAAGTTTGGGGTCAAGAAGATTTTTGAATGAATGAATGAATGATTGAAATGAAATACTTTTTTCAGTAAGGATGCATTAAATTGATCAAAAGTGATGGTAAAGAATTTTAAATTGTTACCAAAAAAAAATGCTGTTCTTTTGAATTTTATATTAGTCAAAAAAAATCCCAAAAAATATTAGCATGATTTCTGTAAAAATATTAAGCAGCATAACTGTTAATATTCAGTACTGATAAATCAAGGATATTAAAATGATGTCTGAAGGATCATGTGCCACTTGTGTAATGGATGCTGAAAATTCAGCTTTGCTATCACAGGAATAAATTACATTTTTTAAATATATTAAAATAAAAAAACAGTACTAATAACTTTCCTGTATTTTTGATCAAATAAATGCAGCCTTGGTTTTCTTTCAAAAACATTTTAAAAATCTTCCAAAATTGAGTAGTAATGTATTTTGGCCTTTTTCTGTTAAATTAAATTTTAATTTACTCATGTGGTGTAAAGTACAATGAACAGCGAGATCTGTGAATACATATTAAATATAGTGTACCATAATTCACTGTCACAGAATCTTAATTTTTACTGTTTTCCGCCCTACACAAGATAGTATAGAGGGGACCGAAAGTTATGTGGAAAGAGGGGGGAGTAGGATAAGGACATGTAGTCCAGGTCATCCACATGAGTTATCATTGTGTTATTCCTTCTGTCAAAACACATTTTTTGACAATGTGTATTATTATTATTATTAGTAGTAGTAGTCAAAGTGTTGTTATTATTATTATTATTATTATTATTATTGATGGGCTTTTGCCTTGTAATAAAGAACTTGATCCCTCTTATATTACTTGACATGAGCATGTGTCACTGTGCCAAGACATTAACAAATTATGTTTTTGAAAGCATGTTTTAATGTGCTTTTAAATGAGATACTGAGGGAGTACAGCACCATAACCTTTTTTAAGTGGCAAAGAAACAAATGCTATGAGAAACATTCACACACATTTAATAACAATTAGCCTGAGAATATCCATTAGCCATTCCTCTTGTGCCCACTATAATAGTCAATGTTCCTGTACAGTCTGAAAACTTCACCTTTTTCATCAATTCTTTGTGTACCCTGAGTTACAGATTGAACCTCCCCTCACAAAAGAGTTGGTGAAACCGGTGAAAACAATGTGTATACCACATCCCAACCATTCGTCTTAACTCCTCTTGACCTTACAGTATATAACGGACTGCAGGGTCTCTCTTTTTAAAGTATGTAAAAAGTAGAAGTACTGTATGTAAACCAGTTCAAAAATGTTCATGGTGTAAAGATAGCAAATAAATAATCTTATTGCCCCAAAGTGTCCATAATCAATGTGTGTCTATGTGAAATGGTGTTGTGTATCCACAGGTCCTGAATGAGGCGACAGAAGATAACCTGATTGATCTGGGACCAGGGTCTCCTGCAGTGGTCAGCCCCAGGATCAGTGCTACTCCTCCGTCCAGCTTGCCTCCCTCTGTGGCTCCGATTCGCTCCGCCTCACCAGTCACTCTCTCCTCCAGACTGGCTGGTTTGGGTGAGTCGTACATTAGATCCGCAATGTTTTTTACATTATAGATATCAAGTGGGAAGCTCTCTTGTTTGTCTGTACTAATGTGAGAATACCATTGCTTTACAGATGTCGGTTCCGACAGTGTGAGTGGCACCTTGACCTCTTTGACTACCTGTCAACCCCAAGATGACTTTGACACATTTGCCCAGACCAGGACTGGCACCATACCTGAGAGGAAGAAGTATGAAACAAATCTATTTCATGTCATTAAAAGCTTATCATATATAGAGTAAGATGCCTCCTCGAAAGGGATACTCAAAAATGAAAATTCTCTCATAATTTTCTCACCTTCATAACATCCCAGATGTCTATAAATTAATTTCTTCAGATTAACACAATTGAAGAATTTTAGAAAAAGATAAGTCCATATATAGTAATGCAATTGTACGGTACCTCCGATATTGAAGCTTCATAATCCACACAATACAAGCATGATGGTAATCCATAAGCCCTCAGTTGAACATTGTTTTCTGAAGCGAAATCATAGGTGTGTGTCAGAAAAATAAAAAAAAATTTCAACTTTTTAAACTATAAACCATCACTTTCGATGGATCATCACGCATGTGACAGTTAGCCGAAAATGATGCTTTGTAGCTTAAAACGTTACAAATATTAGTATTTTTCTTACACGCATCTATAGTCAGAACCCATAAGACAGACTTCTACCCGCTAGAAGACATTGATTTATAAATTCTGTCCGTGTGGAATCCTTTCGTGTTCACTTTGTGTGGTTTTTGAAGCATCCATTTTGGAGGTCTTGTAAGACTCAGAGTATCCCTTTAAGAGCAGTGTGCAGTTACTGATGCATTTTGTCCAGTTTGGAGATAGCTTTATGATGATACATCATTCAATATATTATTAAGGGGAATAAATGGAAACATTTGTAAATTTAGTTTTAATAACACTACATTTTAATTTAAGAGAAGGTAAATTTCATCTTGCCCCACTACTTAAAAAGATGACCACCTGTCTGGGGCAAGAAGGTCCCAAATGGTTAGATTTTATGCCAGATTAGTGTCATTCATTCATTCATTTATTAATGTTTCACATTAAATTTTTAAAGTGTTTATTTACTTAGACAAAAGGGGCCCCTTTTTATGTAAAATACTAAATCAAGCTGTCTGAAATAATAAATTTGCAGATCTTTATTATAAAATAAAGGTTTAAGAGAGGCATCATTCCCTAATATTATGATACAATTTATTTTATATAATGTTGTATTATATTAGCTTTAACATTGCTCATTTTGAACTATCAGTGCACCATTCGAAGACACAAAGGCTTCAAGTGGAGTGGCCCCGACTTTGGATGTCAGACAACACACTGGGGTGAGTTTTCTTTGATATTAGTATATGTGCATTTGGAATCATTGGTTTAATGTCAAAGAGGCATCATAGAGCTGGATATTGAGGTACTTATTTTGGAGTGGTTGAAAAGGCAAATGAATTGTGGCTATTTTCAGAGGATACCAAGGTACATAGTACACAGCAATGTACGCAGTGTACCAAAAACTCCAAATTAGTAAGTGAGAAGGACGTGACTTTGAAAGTGACACTAGTTGATGAACATATACATTTGAGTTAGAAGAAACGATTTCTGGAAGCAAGAGTTCAGATTATACTTTTATTTTTATATTTTAGTTACTGGTATTATTCAGTGGGTGCGGCTCAAAAGAGTTGAATTGCAGTATAGTGCGGTGGCGCTCTGTGCATGTGTTTGATTTATTACCAAATGTCTCCATATGGGGGTAGTTTGCTAATATTGGTTTGATTAAGACTTTTATGTTGAAGTCTTATTGTTTTTGTTTTGTTTTTTTGTTGTTGTTTGTTTGTTTGTTTTGTCATGTTTTCTTGGGATTATTATTTTATTTATTATTTGCTTTGCTCCGGCCCATGGTTTGGGCCCATAGGCAGCTCTTGACCAGTCCTCTGTCATGGATGACATTGAGGAGTGGCTCTGTACTGATGTGGTGAGATTTCCTTTCGTTTATTTTATTTAATTTTTTTTCTTCTTCTTTAGGACATAAGCCATTTTTCTTAAAAGAAATATGCTCTTATTACCACATATTTCTTTTTGTTTGCCTTTTTGTTCTTGGCTGATTGCCCTTTATCCTCTTTTTGGGGTCACTAACCACTCTCCTTGTATGGTTTTGCTGCATTCCTTACTTTTCTGGGATATTCTTACAATTGTTTTAACTGATTAAAATATACACTGAGTGCATAGTGAATAGACGCTTGCTTGATATGCTTTTAACACTTTTATTTTCTATATTAATGACTCTTTTGGATGTTTTGGGTAATGTCATTTGGTTAAATGAAGAATAGGTAATTTGAAGAGAAAAAATTATCATGTTTGATGTGGTTGCAAAAAAATGGTGTGTTCCTTTCTTTGCAAGCCTTCGTGCACTGAAATCGTTTACCCTTTTTCTGCTTTCCTTCAGAAAGGAGATGGAGAAGAGGGTGTGACAAGTGAAGGTATTCAGAAATTATTGGATTTTTGCTGCTATTCAGAAGTTTGGGGTCAATGGATTTTTTTTTTTTTTGGGTAGGTTTTGTTTTTTTTGTTTTTAAAGAAATTAACACTCATTAAAGATGCATTAAATTGATCAATAGCTGACAGTAAAGACATTTATAATGTTGGTAATTATTTCTGTTTGTAGTTTATTTGAACTTTCTATTCACCATGGGCGGCGCTAGAGAGGGGCTAGCAGGTGCTCCAGCACCCCCAAGAAAGACCAAAGCACCCCCATACATAAAAAAGATGAAATAAAAAATATATATATTTGACGCATTACACATGCGTAACTCGTGCAATGCAATACATCGTGACGTGATTTGCAGTCGCACATTTCGTAATGTCATAGCATTTTATTTTAAAAATGGATCGGTTCCTTGTGCCAAGTAGGCCCGCGCCCAACTAAACATTTTTCTAGGCAACTAGTCGCACGTTTATATTAAGTTGATTAATATAATAACCTACTAAACCATCCTTTAATAGGCATTTGGGCGTATTATAGCCTATTCCGCGCTCGAGCGCGCGCATAAAGCTTACCGCAAAGCACTGGCAAAAGTAATTAGTAATGATGCGTCGGCGAAAAAGAAGACATTTTAATTATTTATTACTCAAGTAGTGCTTTCTCAGTCGGTGTCGGATGCAAAGATGAAGTTGCCGAATGCCGACGCTGCTGGCCATCTCCACAGTAGGCCTAATGGACGTGCTTTTAATAGAGAAATGCACATTTTCATATGGACTACATAATTACAGAAGATTTGTTTTTTATTTGAATTGGTACGTTTAATAGAAGACATTTCAAGCTTTCTATAGCCTAGATTTATTTCTCATGTCTGTGAGCCGGTTCATTGTTGTGACGTGCTCCATTCACAGAGACTGCATGCAGAAAGCACATCCAAAAATGTTAAGTTTTCCGCAGGGGAAAAAAAATGCAAGGGATTGCGCAGGTGCCTCCATGTCATAGCCTACATTAAGCACGATAATACTCCCACACTCCTCATGAACACTTGAAATGCGCCTATATAGCGATTTTATTTTTCATGTATATATATATATATTATTAGGGATGCACCGATACTGGTATCGGTATCGATACTGAGTTCTCACAGACATCACTGGAAGGTTTGTAGTTCGGTCGGATATGTAAAAAAACAAGTAAGTAAAACAATGCACATGTTACTTAATGGTAGGGAGAGAGAGAGCGTGCGCGCACAATTCTGTTGTGTGATCTATATATATAACCTGTTTTGGTTCTAATTGCTATTAATTGCCCAGCCCCCCCTGTCAATGATCTAGCACCCCCTCAGCACCTGCGTTCAAAATTCTCTGGCGCCGCCCCTGTCTTCCACAAAAATCTTTTCAACTGTGATAATAGATGTTTCTTAAGCAGCAAATTAGCATATTAAAATGATTTCTGCATGATGATACAACACTGAAAATTCAGCTTTGACATCACAGGAATTACATTTTAAAATATATAAAAATGTAAAATTGTATTTTCACAATGTTACCCTTTTACTGTATTTTTAATCAAGTAAATGCAGTCTTAGTGAACATAAGAGACTTCTTTAAAAAACATTAAAAACCAACCCCAAACTTTTGAACAGTAGTGTCTATCTGTTCATAGTCCCAGCAATTATATGCAGCTTTTGACTTTAAATGCCCCATGAAAACTTTCTTCCAGAGTTTGACAAGTTTCTGGAGGAGAGAGCCAAAGCAGCAGAGATGGTGCCCACGCTGCCGACACCCCCGAGTGATGAGCTTTCTGCTGCCGCCGGCACTTCTGCAAATGCGAGTAAAAAGGCAGGCAGGTCCGAGGACTCTGTCTTTGCCTTGTAGATAAGTGTCTGATCCTATGGGGCGGCCCAGCACTGCTCATGCGGCAGTGATGGGTCAGCCGCTTTGCAGATCCATCGGCGTCTCCTCTTTCTCTCCTGCTTCCTGCTTCTCCAGCACAATCAACACTACCACAGCTGAAGTGATCAAAACTGTTTCATGATCTAGACATTTTCATAATGGACATTTTCATACTCTACCAAGTTTTCATTCCATTGAAAATACTGTATAAGATCCACTCATAACTCCCTCTAAAAATATACCTTTCCTTGTGGGTTCGAGAGATCGGTGTCTATTTTTTTTAATTGATGTTTGTGGTATAAAGCAAGAAAGTTCTTGCAATGTCTACTACCAGATCCGGTCATGTCTAACTTTGCGTTCACTGTGGTCCTGCATGCAACAGCTGGATAATCCAATTTCTCTTTCCTCATTAATTATCTGTAAAGGGAGCTAATAATTGTTTTTTCCTCTTCTTTTTTTTTTTTTAGTTTTATTTACCTGTTGGTTTGCTTTAAAGGGATGTTATACATAGGATTATTTATTATAAAATTTCCAATTAATACCTCTGACAAGATGAAAGCTGATGGTAGCAGTTCAGCTGGCAAATTTTAAGATTGTGTCATATTATCAGAAATTAGTACCAGTTATTGAATGAGACATAACTATTAGAGAGGGAAGTTTTAAGCATAGTCGGTATTTATTCGAATTATAACACATTTTGCTTAAAAGTGACAGAAGTGACGTGTCTGTACCACATCTCTTAACTACAAAGGTCACATCAGAGGGAAAATGATATTATTAATATTTCACTGGATACTTTTAAATGCTATTTTACTTGGCAAAACCATTGCCTATTAGAAAGGATTAATAGGAACAAAAAGTATGTATTTCAATTTAATTTGCACTGAAAGAATTATTCGCCTTTCGGCTGTGTTAAAAGCGCTTTTGTCCAAATACAAAATTTAAGCTGGCGTTCATTTCAGCGCTGTCTATTACGAGGCCGAAAACAAATGGAGTTTCCAGAGAACTGATGGTGACTGCGAGGCAGTTTAAATTGGATTTTACGTTGCACAACTGCAGCAGAAGTGGTGTCGAGCTTAATGTTATTACTGAGAATGAAATGGATCTGCCTTAAAGAACTGGTTGTAGGTAGTTTAAGGTGTAGTCCACTAATGGTCATTTAACGTTTGGTACTCTCATGTTTGCACATCAGAGATTTGATTTAGTGAGGTGAATGTGCTGATGTAATATCTGTTTGCGTGCTGTGTCTCGCTGTTGTGTACATACTGTTTTGACGGACCAAATGTTTAACCGTGGCAAATAATTTAAACGTAGAGTCAACTAACTTCAGACATATATTGCTTTTAACGTCCAGAGGAGTTTTAGTTGTTTCAGTGTTTCCCATACATTGATTTATTTGTGGCGGCCCGCCACAAATAGATTTTTCAAAAGGCTTTTACTTCGTTGAATAAACATGAGCACTGCACGTTTCAAAATCAAAAGGCAGCATGGGTGTTTTTATATCACTGTAACTCTGAAGGAAACCGACTGTATTTAGAACATTTTCGATGTCATTTCCATTTCATCTTGCCTGTAATGCCTGATAAAGCAGCGTTTGTGAGCGGAGCGCTGCTTTGTGTACAGCCGTTAGCTGGGAAACCTCTATCTCTCCTGCTCTAAAAGCGCCTCCTGCTGGCAGAGAATGAATTTGCACATCTATGCCGCCACAAATAGAGTGCAAGTCTGTGGGAAACACGGTGTTTGTATTTGATTTTATTTGTTCATATAGGTGAGCACAAATCAAAGGGACAGTGCACTTTTGCATGGCTAATTATTTTATATGATTTGTCAAACTACACAAACTATGTATTATGAACCCCAGATCTATTGAGTAACTAAGCTTTGGCCCTCTTGCACTCATAATTTCAGTTTGAAAACTGGGATTTTGAGGATCGCCGCCTTTGGCAGAATTATTGGGAGTTCATTATGCTGTGTTTGTGAACTGGAGCTGTTAGGACAATGTAAGGGAAACAGTTTAGGGATCAGGTGTCAGTGATATTTAGTCTGTTAGTTTGGTGTTTTTGAGAAGAGCCTAAGAAGAAACTCAAGGATAGCTGTAGCAGGGATGCAGCTCGATTATGCACAAGCATTAATACTAAAATATTATGGCTACTGTCTATTTCTGTTTGTAACAGGAGATTTGAGGGACACAGTTGACTAGTTTCTTTCATGAGATCTGTATTTCCTTCTACATTACTAATATGTATGCTAAACTACACTAGTTTTACCTCCCATTGATTTTAACCATCCCATTTAAATGCTGTTGTTACTGTTTTTGACACTATCACTGAAATGGTTCATCTTGAATAAAAACACGTGATTTTAATTGAAGTTATTTATCAGTTTATCAGCATCTACCTTGAATGCATTTTTCAGCAATTGTGCAATTTCATCACTTAATGCTGCACTACGTTTTGATTTATTTGAAATGGTTTTAGCTGTAAATTAGTCTCAGTAATGTACGGTTTGAGAAAGCAGAACATTTATTTAGTATCTTTTTTTTTTTCTTTTCTTTTTTCCAGAAGACCGTATTGGTTACTGTATATTAGAATGAAGGGACTGTAAATTTTAAAAATCATAGATTTGGAGTTTCCACTTTTTTCCAGTGTAGTTGGAATGAAAATATTTGACTGACTTATTGCAATCAGACAAAAGTGATCCCCAGCATATGGTCAGGTTATGCCAATGTCTTTTGTACCATTGAGAGCATTTCTTTATAGTAACGGCACTTTTCTTCTCTTTGATATGTATTTGGAGTTGTGTGTGTGTCTATGTATATGTGTGAACAACAGCTCCTGATATCCTGATGTCTGCTGCAGACACCGTGTTTATTCTGTATTTACCAAGGGACGGAAAGGAGAGAATCTAGCTTTCTAAAATGACACATCTCCATAAAGAAAAGTGAAACTGCAGTGTGTGTGTGTGAGTGAGTGAGTGAAGGGCTGGAATAAGATGTACTCTCTAACCGGTGATCATTTCTGTGGTCAATCTTGGTTTTACAGATTGTACTTGTGTTGGTCTGTGTGCTTACCTGTTGTTATACCTCAAGCTGCTCTCTGTATTGTTTGATTCATGCATGTGTTGAACTCCAATAAAATATACCAAGATGGTGATGTTAGCAGACTCTCTTTTGTAGATATATGTCATATTGAATATATTCAGCAGCACCTCTCAAACTGAATTACAGATCATTGTAAAATGTTAAAATGTAGTTCACTGTGATAGTTTTATTTTATTACACACGCACACATTTCAAACCCTGTAATTTACAAATTTGTGTACTAAAGTTTTAAGTTACTAGCCATTCAGAACACCTACTGTACTTACCAAAACAAAATCAGAAATATATTATAAAATCTTATTCTGGATAGTAATGGCTTTGTTTTAAGACCGAATTTTCAGACTAAATTTTCGCTGACTTCTCTTCCTCAGCTTTTATTTCCAAATGTAGCTCACTCAAAAATAAATGTTTGATGGTAGACATAATAAATGTTTGATGAGTAAAGTGATCAGCTGTTTCCTCACAAATGTCAGTATACTGAATTCACTGTATTGAGCCTGTCCTCCATTGACATCTATTAAAAAAAAGGCCTGAAGTGAGAAGGAGAGCTTCAGTTGCACACCGGCCCTTGGACGTCTCACAGGCATCGCACACCAGGGGCCTCATTTATAAAGTGTTGCGTATAAACCATCCTAAATTTGTTCTAAGATCATTTCTCGAAAGTGCGTAAGTGCGATTCAGAGAAAACGAACGTGTGCACAAAAACACGTGCGTACGCCTCTCTTCCAAATGTGACATTTATAAATCGCAAATGATCTTGAAATTGTGCGCAGCTGACTGGTGTCAGATCTCCGCCTTGTAAACGCCCCCTAATTAATATCATTACCATATAAAAGAGCACACGCCAATATCTGACTTTCTATGCTTGAGAATGACAAGCACAAAGAAAAAAAAAAACTTTACGGAGTCTGAAATTAAACTTTTATTCAGCAAGTATGCATTAAATTGATCAAAATGGACAGTACAGATGTTTGTATGTAATGTTTTTAAAAAGATTTATTTCTTACATAAATGTGTTTATTTAATACATTTTCTATTCATTAAGGAATCCTAAAAAAAAAAACAAAGTTTCCACAAAAGAAATTAAGTAGCGCAAGTGTTTTCAACATTGATGATAATAAGAAATGTTTCTTAATCACCAAATCAGCCTATTATAATAATTTCTGAAGGATCGTGTGACACTGAAGACTGGAGTGATGATTCTGAAGATTCAGCTTTGCCATCGCAGAAATAAATATATGTCTTTGATCAAATAAGTGCAGCCTTGGTGAGTATAAGACACTTCTTTCAAAAACATAAAAAACTGATCTCAAACTTGTGAAGAGTTGTTTACTTCAAAACACAGCAACTAAGAAAAGGCCCAAGGATCAATTTGAAGGAGCTATTTCTGCAGAATGAAGAAACCACAGTCAGAGAGAACCTGTTTCAGACTGCTAAAAAAAAAGTAAAGCCTGGATAAAAGTAAATCTTTCAGCAGGAAATGATTTCAAACAAAAGGCCAAATGAACAGGAAGAGCTGCTCAAGATCTAAAAGGTGAGGGTCCTTATCATAACCACTTTATTTCAAAGATACTTCATTCGTTTTAATTGCGTGACTGTCTGCCAGTGAAGGGGTGACGTTGTTTCTCGTAAACCCTTGAAGACAGAATCCTCTGTGCATGTGGACAAATTTGACAACAATTTAGAGGAAATGATGCAAGCACCAATGAGAATCAGGCTCGCGTGGCACATTCCTAAGGGTTAAAAATAAAACCTCCTATGTTCGAAAGGCTCTAGTAAACACCTATAACAAGTGCATAATCACTTCCATCATGGGTGTAATGGAAATGAATTATTTCCTAATCATAGTGCAAGGGCCTTTTAATGTGTTCACATTTTGGGCTCTGGAATTAATTTAATAAACTCCATACTTCAAACCAATGGCTAATTATTGCATAGAAAACATGGGTTGATGGTTTAAATGCTTGTTTTGAACAGCTGCACAACATTTTCATGACATGGCCTGTTCAGTTTGGGGTCTGCTGTGAATTTTGAGGTATTTAGAGATTACCACAAAATTCCCAAATATGATCATATTGAATTACATTTACAAAATAATTCTAGTAACTGGTGTCAGTCCAAATCACACCATCGTTCATGTTTTAAAAACCTCATAACCCGCAGTTATTTAAAGAGTTCTCTTTAGATTCTTAGGATTATTCAGAAGCGTACATACACATCCACCACCTATTCATTCAATTGAGTTATTCAATGAATACTACATCCTTAGCATCCACTAAAAATCACACCTTAAGGAAATCACGATTGCTAAGCAGGGACTCCTGATTGCATTATTAGATTGCTTTTTTCCCTTTTTAAGAAGCATTTCTTAAAGGCTTTATCGCTATCTTGTTTTTATAATAATTTCCTAGCCAAAATCCAATTTTAAAACAGGGGAAAAGGCAATGAAAGCTAAACATTTTGAGTAAATTAGCTGTTTATGTTTATTATATGGGTGCTATTATCGTTGCACATCACTGATTTCCCAATTTCCTCATTCAGTGCTGTTTACTTAGCCGTAAGCCTCTCATTTCACCTCGCTGACAATGCTTCAGTGTAATGCAATAAATATATGCACAAAAAGAGGGTTTATTTACAAATATGAAGGGGGAAAACTAAAATTTTTATCTTAAGATTTGTACAATGACAGATGAGCCAAGCAAACAACGCTGTCACAATATTCCTAAACCAGAAGAGACACATTAATGGGTGAACTATGAACTGGTTTTGCATTTTAACAGAAATGAGAGTAATCTATCTCCGGCTAACCTTGCAAGTGTAATGCTATATTAAATGCCACTCATGTTAAGTGTGTTGAAACCTTTCTGATGCAGTCACTCCGTAATATAAAGGTTAAATTGAAAAATGTCCCCTCCTGAGCACAAAGCAAGCCATGATTGATACACCTTCGAAGGAAAATAAATGTTAACCGACTTCCGCTCTAAACTCCCAGCTTTATGAGTGATATGTATTCTAATAGAGTGTTTGGATCACATTTAGTCAGGCCTTATATAAATGGAAAAGGTCAGTCAGAGAGATTAGGGAGATTTGGAGAAGGTTAGACTGCGCTTGTCTGACAGTTTGCTAATATTCAGTTATGTCTATTCAAATATGCCAAAGCATTTCTATATCATTAATATGAATTTTCTTGATGTGTGTGTAATGGACTTCTTACTTTGTATACACAAGAGAAGTTACATATATGTGGGAAATGTATAAAACTAAGCACTCTTGTTTTCATTCTTTATGATAAATCATAAATACTTTGCCTAATTAGAACATTACTGA